GGAATGTGAGCATTATAGTCTTCATCCTTTGCTGCAGACATTCTGTAGAGAGGAGCAAGATCGTATGGGATGTGCTGAAGAAGGAACGCAAGCCAGACGAGCTTTCACCCTTCACTACTTGAAGAAGCTTGAAAACATCTGTAGAAAGTTTGTCAGCAAAGACTTCCAACTTGCCTTAAAGGATTTTGAACATGACGGAATGAATATCCAACAAGCTCTGGAGAATTCAATCAAGTTCCAATGCAAAGACATCGAAGAAAGTTGCATTAATGCATGCAACAACAGTGTAAATTTTCTAGGCAAAATCATGCCACCAAGACAATGCCTGGAGATCTACCATCGTCTGTATGACATGTCAAGTTCACAAAAAAACACTAGACAAATGGCAGAGTGTTTGGCCTCTCTTGGGTTTGTGCATTTATGTGACGGAAATCATCGAACATTCTCCAAAGAGGCAATGGAGTCTTTTGAAGAAGCGTACAAACTTTTTAAGATTGTGAGCAAGAGTAAGAGAAAGAGCGAGGCATTTGCACATTGCCTGAGTAAATTAGGACTGTGCTACATAGCCAAGGGCATTGAGGAGAATGAACAAAAGAAGGGTCAGCAAAAGAAGGATCCACCAAAGAGAGATCGACCAAAGGGGTTCCAACAAATGGGCGATCGACAAAAGGGGAAAAAGTTGATGCAAGATGCCATCGACTTGCGTAAAGAACTTGGTGATCAAGTGTATCTGGCAGCCAGCCACTGCGACAGAGCTAGTAAGTTATCTTTAGTTGATGATGATGACGATGATGATAAAAAAATTGATAATAATTGTAAAGATAACAAGAGTATTGTAGCATGGGCTTATGATGATTTTGGCGACTATAATTGCATTCAGTTGTCAAATAGTTAATAATTACCTTTAAATTGTTTAGACTATTAATTTTTTTTAACAGTTGCTGCTCGTTTGATTGGAGAGCATTCCCAGGCCATCACAATTCTCAAAGAGGAATGCTATCCTATATACAAAGACAACTTAGGGGACCACCCCTGGGTAGCTACTGTCCTTAACTATATCTCCGATTCTTACAAAGTCCTTGGAAAACTTGAAGATGCAAAGGAGAACACCAAGAAATCACTGGATATACGCAAGAGAACGCTTGGTGATCATCAAGACACTGCAAGATCCTATGTTCATCTTGCTGAACTTCTTCGATTACAAGGTCAAGACTATCTTTCTGGTGCTTTGGAAAACTATCAAAAAGCTCTCTCAATACAAGAAAAAGTGCTGGGAGTTGACAAAGAGACTGCTGCATCTTGCAAAGCCATTGCAGAAATTTTGGAAGAATTTGAGCCAGAGAATGTGCCTGAGATGAAGAAACGAGCAGACTCCTTCACGGAGGCTATCAAAAAGCGAGCAACTGTGCAAAGACAAATTTCTCACCAACAAAATGAGACAGCCAACTCACACTTACAGAAAGAAAAGTTAAAGTGGAAATTGGAGATCATAGTAGTTGTGTTCACAATTTTAGTCAGTTTGCTTCTTTGTCTTAGATGTAGTTTTTAAATTAATGGAAATTTTGATAGGCCAGACATAGTCTATTAACTATGGGCCAGACAATTCACTTTGACCATACTCAATTAATGCATTGATGCAATAACATAATCAAAATTCATGTTTTTTAGAATAGCAATGGGAACAAAAGAATATAAATAATTTTAATTATAGAATTACCATCAGTCGAAAACACACCAGGACAGTTTTCTTATCAATTCGATTTTTATCATCCTTTCTATGTATATCTATTGCTCGTTTTCAACCATTCCCAGGAGATTCAAAAGATAAAAGACCGGCGGCCAGGTTGGAGGAATGAACAATAGATACTAATGAGAAATCCTTTGTTGAAGTTCATCCAAGATGGCCGCTGTGACGTATAGTGAAAACGAAGAATATATTTAAAATATTTTCGATTCACTACTTTATCTGCATTTTAATTTAGCCAAAGCACAAGTTGTATGCACTGTCAAAGAAAATAAAAACAACTTAAAGATTCTAGGATGCTTTATTTTCTCAGTGACTATTTTTCTAGTGACGTCATGTTTGTTTCGGCCAAATGCATCATGGTATTGATAGAATTATCAAGATGGCGGATGCTTTGTTAAAACGACCGAAATTAACGTTATGAAGAACATGAATTAACATGGCAGCGGACTGAGAGAATACTAACCTAATGGCTAGCTTTTTTTCACAAAAACAGAAATAAAGGAAAGCAAATGACAACAGTTTCTAAGAATTTGAGTACTTTAAAAGTAGTGCTTCTCGCTCACGAACATCGTCCTACGTCATTAGGAGAGAAGACCATTTAATATTGTTTGGTTTGTTAATTCGTTTTGCTTTTTTGTTTGTTTCAGATGTTATTTTTAGTTTTAATTTTTGCGTTATAATGTACTTTATCTGATTGTCAGCTATTGCCGTTTGTACATTTTTTTTCGAGGAGTGGCTTTTGATGTCGATTTTTTCTTGATCTCATTAACGTAGCAGTAGTGTATGGAAATGTATCATAACAAAATTCATGTCTTAAGCGCCATCTTTAACCGACTTTGACACAACCAACCGTATTGATCCCAGTAAATTACCGGTCTTATTTAACTAGTATATTATTGACAAAAATCTAAATTAGTTGAACGAAAACATTCGATTAAAACCAGCGTTTACTTGATAACATCCCCTAAATTGAAAAGTTTGGCTATCAAACATTTATGAATGAAAAAAGTGTGGTCTTTTACGGAAAATATTCTCAAAAAATATCGTTGTTGTTAAGCCAAGACGTTGCAGTTAAGGACTACTTTTATTTGTACAGAGAAAGGATGAAGTTGAGTGAAGCGATGACGGTTTTTGGAGTGTGCTGTAGAAGTTGTTTGTAAGGCGTATTTCGTAGTGTACATTGTTCAATGTCTTAATCACCGACCTCTTGATTCAATATTAATATGCTTCTTGGCGATAAAGACCACAAACTTAAGTTTGTTCTCTATTTGTCATCGTGGTTAATCATTTCACTCCATATCAGTTTGCTAACATAAATGTATTGGCTACTTTCTTGTTTACCATTGAATCCTGTATTGCAAAGTGCCCCTCCAGTATGTTTTCATTTTAATAAAACTTAAGATAAGACTGTCTTGCACACAAACCCAATAGTATTATTATACAATGGTTTTTATTTTTCTAGGTTTTTCCTAACTGCATTCATTAGTCAGTCGACTTTTGAGATCAGTCAAAAATATGCTGTCGATGAAGATCTCAATTTCAAAGTTTCCACTTGTGAATTACTTCAAAATACTTTCAGACAAAAAAGCTAAACTTTCTTCGCCAGGTTACACAAAACTACAGTACTAATTACATGTGCATGATGTTTCAAGGCAATTTTTCGGAATAAAAATGCTTTGAAATGAGCTTATACAAATTCAATAAAGAAATTTAGAATAGATTTGGTTGGTCATGATTCAAAACCACCCAAAAGTGCATCATATCTTTTTGCGACTTTAAAAGGTTAAACATTTCTTCACTTGTCCGTTATAGAACTTTTCCAAGACTTAGTTCCTTATTTTCTCGATTCAGTAAGTGCTAATCAAGATCATGTCTCCGGTTGTAGAGTCTTCCAGTTGACAACTTTCATAGCAGGAGTTTTCAACCTAATCAAGGGAAGCCCATCTTGACAGCGCTTGTGGTCAGATTGGCCGCTTGATACAGGACAACTTTAGCATGTTTGGTCAGTTGGGACTAGTATACGATATTAAGACTATTAGTTCACAAATACGGCATAATGAAGGGCTTTGGAGGTGACCGCTTATCAAAGATGACTTTGGTCATCTTAGTCAGTGCAATAACCGTTTGAAATATCGTACATTCATAAACAACAGCACGCTACCAATTATCAGAACGTCGGCCATCTTGGATTCTTGAAACATTAGATTATCATGTCATAGCTGGAAAAATAATTATTTTGTCTGATTTTTTACATGTTGTTGATCGTTTTCTAGGTTTTACGATGTTTATAGTTTAATTCAAACTGCGCCTGTTGGCAGCTGAGTTTTTATGTAAAAGTTTGACTTCTACAAACAGAATAGTACTACAATTCATAATGTGATACTAAAAAAGAAAGTGTACTGGTGTTGTCTAAGCTATCTCGTTTGTATTTTCTTTAGTCATAAAATGCTTTAAGAACGATTCAGGTTTCTTCGCAACTGCTGTTCGATAAAAACGGAAGCTTGTACTCGGCACACTTTATCAACTGCCCTGCAGCCAATGCAACTTCAAGACTCGGAATGTTTTTGCAGTTTTTCTTGTAATTTGCACAACGTCTCTTGCCAACTGTCATTTTCCCTTTGGCCGTACGATAACGAGGCTAAAGCTGACAAAGACGACGAATATGGACCAGCAGTAAAGGGTTTAGGGGTTGATACTAAGGGAGACAAGGTCGAGCCTGCCGCATTATGCAGTGTGTACATTTGGTTGTAAGGAGAATACTGTTTGTAAGATACAGGAGACATTAGGCTACCAGTCGAGTATGTCCCAATGCTACGACTATAATCTTCACCCTTGTAAGCCGACATTAGACTCGAATAACCATGAAAAGGCATGTAGCTTCTCAAATATGGCATRCCAGTCGACATTCCTCCCGCAAACTTTAAAGCGTTGCTTTTCCGAACTCTYCTCCTAGCACGTCTTCTTCTGAAGTCTCCATTTGAGAAGTCTTCCAAGTTGGCGGGGTGGATGGCCCAGTAGTTTCCCTTCCCATTCTCGCTTCTTCCCGCTTTAATAAAGCACTCGTTAAGAGATAGGTTATGTCTAATACTGTTRCGCCAACTTTTGTCTTTGTTACGATAGTACGGGTAGTTATCTGAAATGTACTGGTAGATATCGCCCAAAATCATCTTCTTGTTGGAGCAACTTAGGATTGCCATTGCAATAAGTGCTATGTAGGAATGTGATGGCTTAACATCAGAATCGTCRTCACATTTGTCYTCTTTCTTTACCGAGAAAGATTCCAGTGGACCAACTGCTGRTTTGTYCGMMKMATSAKKWGTYGYYGCYKCYTSTTTTTGCAGAAGTTTGTCTTGTTCATCATTTTCATTGACTGCGTGAATTGTTGTTTCTTCTAATTCAGACATATTAGTCGATTTAGCAGTGTACTAAAGATAGATGACCAAAAAATGGAATTGATACCTGTATACAGTGTACTTCAAATCATTCAATAGGCGTGCTCAGAAGTCATGCATTGATTGACTTCAAACTTCACTCCTGATGTTCTTCAACAACTCGATGTGTCAAAAGATAAGTCGACCTGCGCTCCGTCTGCCCTCCAGAAAGCAAGTTTCTTTGAAGAGACCCTTTATAGACAAGGTGATTAAGACAATTAGCTCTGACCGCCTTTATCTTTCATCTAGACCACCTACAGCCTGCTACAAAAGTCACTCATACCTATTGCCGTGTTGTGATTGGTTGGTTGTCTATATACCGCGCGCTTTAATCAGTGGTTTTCACATTGGGAATGACTATACACAAAATTTACCAACCAGATGGCTTCGTTTGTATCCTCACGGAAAAACAACATTTTGGAAAGACAATTTTATCTCTTTAGCTCGGTAATTCCTTGATTAAGATAAATGTTTTAGTGGTTGTGTGAGGTTTGTAATGAATTCCTTTGGAACAGGTGAATTTGAGGCAAACACTGCCCTTAGGTTGATACTCTTGTCTACTAGTATCATAGATCGTTAAAAAATAACTGCTTTTAGTGGAAGCAAACAGTGAAACAATACAAAATCGACTAAATAAATAGGTTATTTTTTAAAGGCGATTTCGGACGACAGAATTTAAGATTAAAAAAAGATTGAAAAGATTATGAAGAAAAAAAACACAAATAAATTTGTCAAAGACAAAGTCCTAAAAATCCTTGATATTATCATTTAAAGTCCTTATAGAATACGCACATTATATTTAACCAAGAATTGAGAGAGTTGATTGAGCAAATTGTCAACGTGTTTGAAAGAGTCCTCAAACAAAGAAAACCCGACAAGGTAAGTTAATTTGTGTTGTTAGGAATTATGATTGTTTATTTTCATGGATTTGTTTGAGAATGTATCCATCTATTAGATGGATTTCCTTAGTTTGTACGATGAGTATCCTGCGTGCCTAAATAGTCGGTCTTATTGTAAATCCACTTCAAACAAATTAAGAAACACCAAGCACGTACTTTAAACTGATAACAACTCAACCTGCACAGCGGGGTTCCCCAAACTCACATGCGCCGCACCTGTACAGCAGCGAGACCATTCTCGAAAAAAAAAAACTGGGAAAATTTCTCTTTCTTCACTTCAAGACAGATACTTTTCAATCCTTTTCCTTGAAACTGATACTTATAGGCCATTTTTAGACAAAATAAGTCAACAATAATGAGAGTAATTTGATGTATAAACAGTGTATTTTACAGAATATAGAATGAGTTTGCATTTAGTTAAATAATTATTTGGCTATCGAGGTCCATAATTTGATTTATAGACTGTTTTTCTGGGCAATAATTCAGGAAAGCTTTCAAACATTCCTGTGAGCCGTTCATGATTCGTTTTTCTCGGGTTTTTGTCGTTTTCCCGTTATTAAAAACGATGTTATGATAACACTGTAGTTCTAAATGAAAAAGATATCAGATAAAGAACTGAACGTTTTGTTTGGATTGAAAAAATGATAAATATCGCACGTTGTGAGAAAATATTGTTCCAAGCAAACAACACCAAAACCATGCAATTTAAAATAGTCGAATATCACAACAAAAGCCATGCAACTTTCTTTAAAAATGAAGGATAATTTTTCACAAAACAATGTTAAGCGAGATGTGAATGCCTGAGGCGATAGAAATGCAATTAATATTTACAAACAAATGGACAATTCTACATTCAATTCTGCTTTTTCTGAATTTCTCTCCATTTTATCCCTTACGAAAACCGACGTGGTTTTCAACTCGAAATCCCTAAGAAGATAAAAATGAGTTTGGATTATATAGA